GCTTTAGGAGAGTTTGAACTGCATCCGTTTGCAGATCCTGGAGCAGCATGTGCACTCTGACATAAGAGCATTTGCATAAAAAAAATGTTCTGGGGATGACTGACTTGACCTGTCTAGGCAGCAGCCAAAAGCACATTCACAATATTCATAAGTCTTTCCTCTAAAAGAAAAAAAGGGAAGAGAAAAGCAATACTAATTCAAGTAGGGGGGCACCTAACTACACTCATGAGCTGTAACAAGCACATTCTTTTTTCACTTCCTCAATTACAGCAAACAAATTACCACTAAATATGCACACAGGTTAACTTCTCAGACTCCAAACCACTAGGCAATAGGTTTGGTTGCAGTGTTTGGCCGGGGGAACGAGAGCTGAGCAATACACAACCCTCCCGAAGAATAATCAGTCATTAGAAAATCCAAACAGTCGTGATCGTGCAAGTGACATTACGTGTGACACTAGTTTTTTCGCGCGCACTATATACATCCAGGGTCTACACAGCCCCTAGGTATACACAAAACGTGAGATCCGGAACCAGAGTTAGAAGTAATCTACAGATGCTGCACAGTACATTACCATTTTTCTTTCAGTCTAACTCAATTTCAGGATCAAAATCAGGGAGGAATTATGAGATGACTTTTAAAAAAAAAAAAAAATCAAGTGACAAACTATGGCATACCTTCCCTTACAAGGGTTACTAAAAATACAGTGGAAGTGTGACACCAGCGCTTTACAGGGACATCGAGTAACTGATGTTGCATCTCCACCTACTGGTCATGTGCAGAGAGCATGGACGTGCATGATCTTCAGTGCCTGGGTAACCCCCCCCCCCCCCGAGATCCATGTGCTTAAACAGAGAGCGGGCAGAGCCCATGTGCTATCCGCCTGGCGCTACACAGTGCACACAGCAGTGCTTGAGAAGCTGGAGAGCTGACTGACAGCCCCTGAGACTGAAGGGAAACAGAGGTCTTAAACGTAACCGCTTGCTTAAGTAGCAGAGTAAACAGAATTTTGCTTGGTTTGGGTTTTCCTCTCCGGGTCCCTTCCTAGTCCACTAAAGGTGTGGATGTGGGCAGGTATTCTTAGACTCTTGTTTTGGTTCATGCAGTAAAAGAGCTGCTTAAAAAGACTGAAGAATAAAGAGTTGTATAGGGGTCTTGCTTATGTAGTATTTAACAACACAAAGCCTTATGCTGAACGTTGCTTCCCAGATCCAGCTTTGTTTATATCTGCTTGACCACTCCTGCACCTAGCTACTGAGCAAGGCAGGGAATGCTGTGTCTGCCTTTACAACTAAGGCTGACGTGTTATGAAGTGTCCAAGTTGAGAGAGGGAAATCAGTTTCTGAGCTATTGAGTGAAGCCTAGATCCCCCCCCCCCCCAAAAAAGATAAAAATCAGAAGCAAAAATACAGCAGGGTAATGGGCCCATGATAACATCACTTGCATGCAATAACTAGGTCCAGTTTGTCAGTCTTTCAAGCATGAAATGCAAGAGCTAATGGGAACTGCTCTGCCAGGGATATGTGATACGTTCATGCTGTTAAACCAGTAACCGCTTTGACATGGAGACTGATGAATGAAATACAAGCTGCCTGAAGTGAAGACAGAGGAAAGCTGTTGCTGTAGAGCATCAGGAAAGGGCAAAGTAAAGGAAGTCTGGAAGTGAGAGGCTACCTAGTGTCAAGAGGAGGAGGAGGCGGCAGCCAGAAAAGTTTACCCAGGAGAGGAACAGAGACTGATCCTGGATGCTGTGTGGGGTGGGGGGAGGAAAATGAAGGCCAATCTAGAGAAGATGGCTCAGGGACCATACAGGGCAGGCTGACTGCATGTGGCCCTGTTCTGCACTCTGCTTAGCACGCTTCAGTATAACAAATGATGAGACAGCCCCCTCTCACTAGTTTTTGGGTTTTTCCTGTTTTGTGAATGTACCCATCACTTCACTATGTGAAATTCGCACAGGAATCGTTTTTTTCAGCAGGGATCACACAGTCCAACACAAGCTCTGTGATAGTGTGGAAATAATTAGTGTCTGGTATTAATAGACCAACAGGCAGACTGCCTCAGAAACTAGCATCTCAGGTCAAACAATGAATCGTGCCTTTTAAAGGTTGGGATAATAAAACTTCTCGCTCTTATGGGCTTTGATCTCTGATCTCAAAGCACCTTTACATACACCGATGAATTAATTCTCCACCTTCTCCAAGGAAGATAAGCACACATAAATACCTGAGCTCAATAATTCTGGGGCAGGCATAAAAATGGGACCTGAATGCCATGCTATATGTTTTACCTACTCCTCCAGCTTCTCTCTCTCCTCTCGCACAAATGCACACCTTTAGCTAAAGGTCTGCT